GTTCGCTACTCACCCCTTCCCTGTGGCGTCTGTTCGCTACTCACCCCTTCCCTGTGGCGTCTGTTCGCTACTCACCCCTTCCCTGTGGCGTCTGTTCGCTACTCACCCCTTCCCTGTGGCGTCTGTTCGCTACTCACCCCTTCCCTGTGGCGTCTGTTCGCTACTCACCCCTTCCCTGTGGCGTCTGTTCGCTACTCACCCCTTCCCTGTGGCGTCTGTTCGCTACTCACCCCTTCCCTGTGGCGTCTGTTCGCTACTCACCCCTTCCCTGTGGCGTCTGTTCGCTACTCACCCCTTCCCTGTGGCGTCTGTTCGCTACTCACCCCTTCCCTGTGGCGTCTGTTCGCTACTCACCCCTTCCCTGTGGCGTCTGTTCGCTACTCACCCCTTCCCTGTGGCGTCTGTTCGCTACTCACCCCTTCCCTGTGGCGTCTGTTCGCTACTCACCCCTTCCCTGTGGCGTCTGTTCGCTACTCACCCCTTCCCTGTGGCGTCTGTTCGCTACTCACCCCTTCCCTGTGGCGTCTGTTCGCTACTCACCCCTTCCCTGTGGCGTCTGTTCGCTACTCACCCCTTCCCTGTGGCGTCTGTTCGCTACTCACCCCTTCCCTGTGGCGTCTGTTCGCTACTCACCCCTTCCCTGTGGCGTCTGTTCGCTACTCACCCCTTCCCTGTGGCGTCTGTTCGCTACTCACCCCTTCCCTGTGGCGTCTGTTCGCTACTCACCCCTTCCCTGTGGCGTCTGTTCGCTACTCACCCCTTCCCTGTGGCGTCTGTTCGCTACTCACCCCTTCCCTGTGGCGTCTGTTCGCTACTCACCCCTTCCCTGTGGCGTCTGTTCGCTACTCACCCCTTCCCTGTGGCGTCTGTTCGCTACTCACCCCTTCCCTGTGGCGTCTGTTCGCTACTCACCCCTTCCCTGTGGCGTCTGTTCGCTACTCACCCCTTCCCTGTGGCGTCTGTTCGCTACTCACCCCTTCCCTGTGGCGTCTGTTCGCTACTCACCCCTTCCCTGTGGCGTCTGTTCGCTACTCACCCCTTCCCTGTGGCGTCTGTTCGCTACTCACCCCTTCCCTGTGGCGTCTGTTCGCTACTCACCCCTTCCCTGTGGCGTCTGTTCGCTACTCACCCCTTCCCTGTGGCGTCTGTTCGCTACTCACCCCTTCCCTGTGGCGTCTGTTCGCTACTCACCCCTTCCCTGTGGCGTCTGTTCGCTACTCACCCCTTCCCCGTGGCGTCTGTTCGCTACTCACCCCTTCCCTGTGGCGTCTGTTCGCTACTCACCCCTTCCCTGTGGCGTCTGTTCGCTACTCACCCCTTCCCTGTGGCGTCTGTTCGCTACTCACCCCTTCCCTGTGGCGTCTGTTCGCTACTCACCCCTTCCCTGTGGCGTCTGTTCGCTACTCACCCCTTCCCTGTGGCGTCTGTTCGCTACTCACCCCTTCCCTGTGGCGTCTGTTCGCTACTCACCCCTTCCCTGTGGCGTCTGTTCGCTACTCACCCCTTCCCTGTGGCGTCTGTTCGCTACTCACCCCTTCCCTGTGGCGTCTGTTCGCTACTCACCCCTTCCCTGTGGCGTCTGTTCGCTACTCACCCCTTCCCTGTGGCGTCTGTTCGCTACTCACCCCTTCCCTGTGGCGTCTGTTCGCTACTCACCCCTTCCCTGTGGCGTCTGTTCGCTACTCACCCCTTCCCTGTGGCGTCTGTTCGCTACTCACCCCTTCCCTGTGGCGTCTGTTCGCTACTCACCCCTTCCCTGTGGCGTCTGTTCGCTACTCACCCCTTCCCTGTGGCGTCTGTTCGCTACTCACCCCTTCCCTGTGGCGTCTGTTCGCTACTCACCCCTTCCCTGGCGTCTGTTCGCTACTCACCCCTTCCCCGTGGCGTCTGTTCGCTACTCACCCCTTCCCTGTGGCGTCTGTTCGCTACTCACCCCTTCCCTGTGGCGTCTGTTCGCTACTCACCCCTTCCCTGTGGCGTCTGTTCGCTACTCACCCCTTCCCTGTGGCGTCTGTTCGCTACTCACCCCTTCCCTGTGGCGTCTGTTCGCTACTCACCCCTTCCCTGTGGCGTCTGTTCGCTACTCACCCCTTCCCTGTGGCGTCTGTTCGCTACTCACCCCTTCCCTGTGGCGTCTGTTCGCTACTCACCCCTTCCCTGTGGCGTCTGTTCGCTACTCACCCCTTCCCTGTGGCGTCTGTTCGCTACTCACCCCTTCCCTGTGGCGTCTGTTCGCTACTCACCCCTTCCCTGTGGCGTCTGTTCGCTACTCACCCCTTCCCTGTGGCGTCTGTTCGCTACTCACCCCTTCCCTGTGGCGTCTGTTCGCTACTCACCCCTTCCCTGTGGCGTCTGTTCGCTACTCACCCCTTCCCTGTGGCGTCTGTTCGCTACTCACCCCTTCCCTGTGGCGTCTGTTCGCTACTCACCCCTTCCCTGTGGCGTCTGTTCGCTACTCACCCCTTCCCTGTGGCGTCTGTTCGCTACTCACCCCTTCCCTGTGGCGTCTGTTCGCTACTCACCCCTTCCCTGTGGCGTCTGTTCGCTACTCACCCCTTCCCTGTGGCGTCTGTTCGCTACTCACCCCTTCCCTGTGGCGTCTGTTCGCTACTCACCCCTTCCCTGTGGCGTCTGTTCGCTACTCACCCCTTCCCTGTGGCGTCTGTTCGCTACTCACCCCTTCCCTGTGGCGTCTGTTCGCTACTCACCCCTTCCCTGTGGCGTCTGTTCGCTACTCACCCCTTCCCCGTGGCCTCTGTTCGCTACTCACCCCTTCCCTGTGGCCTCTGTTCGCTACTCACCCCTTCCCCGTGGCGTCTGTTCGCTACTCACCCCTTCCCCGTGGCGTCTGTTCGCTACTCACCCCTTCCCTGTGGCGTCTGTTCGCTACTCACCCCTTCCCTGTGGCGTCTGTTCGCTACTCACCCCTTCCCTGTGGCGTCTGTTCGCTACTCACCCCTTCCCTGTGGCGTCTGTTCGCTACTCACCCCTTCCCCGTGGCCTCTGTTCGCTACTCACCCCTTCCCTGTGGCCTCTGTTCGCTACTCACCCCTTCCCCGTGGCGTCTGTTCGCTACTCACCCCTTCCCCGTGGCGTCTGTTCGCTACTCACCCCTTCCCTGTGGCGTCTGTTCGCTACTCACCCCTTCCCTGTGGCGTCTGTTCGCTACTCACCCCTTCCCTGTGGCGTCTGTTCGCTACTCACCCCTTCCCTGTGGCGTCTGTTCGCTACTCACCCCTTCCCCGTGGCGTCTGTTCGCTACTCACCCCTTCCCTGTGGCGTCTGTTCGCTACTCACCCCTTCCCTGTGGCGTCTGTTCGCTACTCACCCCTTCCCTGTGGCGTCTGTTCGCTACTCACCCCTTCCCTGTGGCGTCTGTTCGCTACTCACCCCTTCCCCGTGGCGTCTGTTCGCTACTCACCCCTTCCCTGTGGCGTCTGTTCGCTACTCACCCCTTCCCTGTGGCGTCTGTTCGCTACTCACCCCTTCCCTGTGGCGTCTGTTCGCTACTCACCCCTTCCCTGTGGCGTCTGTTCGCTACTCACCCCTTCCCTGTGGCGTCTGTTCGCTACTCACCCCTTCCCTGTGGCGTCTGTTCGCTACTCACCCCTTCCCTGTGGCGTCTGTTCGCTACTCACCCCTTCCCTGTGGCGTCTGTTCGCTACTCACCCCTTCCCTGTGGCGTCTGTTCGCTACTCACCCCTTCCCTGTGGCGTCTGTTCGCTACTCACCCCTTCCCGGGTGGCGTCTGTTCGCTACTCACCCCTTCCCTGTGGCGTCTGTTCGCTACTCACCCCTTCCCTGTGGCGTCTGTTCGCTACTCACCCCTTCCCTGTGGCGTCTGTTCGCTACTCACCCCTTCCCTGTGGCGTCTGTTCGCTACTCACCCCTTCCCTGTGGCGTCTGTTCGCTACTCACCCCTTCCCTGTGGCGTCTGTTCGCTACTCACCCCTTCCCTGTGGCGTCTGTTCGCTACTCACCCTTCCCCGTGGCGTCTGTTCGCTACTCACCCCTTCCCTGTGGCGTCTGTTCGCTACTCACCCCTTCCCTGTGGCGTCTGTTCGCTACTCACCCTTCCCTGTGGCGTCTGTTCGCTACTCACCCCTTCCCTGTGGCGTCTGTTCGCTACTCACCCCTTCCCTGTGGCGTCTGTTCGCTACTCACCCCTTCACCATGGCGTCTGTTCGCTACTCACCCCTTCCCTGTGGCGTCTGTTCGCTACTCACCCCTTCCCTGTGGCGTCTGTTCGCTACTCACCCCTTCCCTGTGGCGTCTGTTCGCTACTCACCCCTTCCCTGTTGCGTCTGTTCGCTACTCACCCCTTCCCTGTGGCGTCTGTTCGCTACTCACCCCTTCCCTGTGGCGTCTGTTCGCTACTCACCCCTTCCCTGTGGCGTCTGTTCGCTACTCACCCCTTCCCTGTGGCGTCTGTTCGCTACTCACCCCTTCCCTGTGGCGTCTGTTCGCTACTCACCCCTTCCCTGTGGCGTCTGTTCGCTACTCACCCCTTCCCCGTGGCGTCTGTTTGCTACTCACCCCTTCCCTGTGGCGTCTGTTCGCTACTCACCCCTTCCCCGTGGCGTCTGTTCACTACTCACCCCTTCCCCGTGGCGTCTGTTCGCTACTCACCCCTTCCCTGTGGCGTCTGTTCGCTACTCACCCCTTCCCTGTGGCGTCTGTTTGCTACTCACCCCTTCCCTGTGGCGTCTGTTCGATACTCACCCCTTCCCTGTGGCGTCTGTTCGCTACTCACCCCTTCCCTGTGGCGTCTGTTCGCTACTCACCCCTTCCCTGTGGCGTCTGTTCGATACTCACCCCTTCCCCGTGGCGTCTGTTCGCTACTCACCCCTTCCCCGTGGCGTCTGTTCACTACTCACCCCTTCCCTGTGGCGTCTGTTCGCTACTCACCCCTTCCCTGTGGCGTCTGTTCACTACTCACCCCTTCCCTGTGGCGTCTGTTCGCTACTCACCCCTTCCCGTGGCGTCTGTTCGCTACTCACCCCTTCCCCGTGGCGTCTGGGATGAGGGTGGGCGGCACCGAGACACGCGCCGACTCAACGCTCCTCAGATGCCCCGACCGCACACTCCACTCCACCTGCGGGCGCACCACAGAGCGAGCGAGGAGAATGAAACATGTGGCTTGGCAGAGTACGTATGCTAGGAAGGATGAGAGGAATAAAGGGAGAATGAGAAAGACAGAAAGGAGAGAGGGGGAGGAAGAAGTGCAAGAGGGGGAGAAATTATTCCATACAGCAGCGAAAAGGAAGGCACGGACAGGGGGAAGTGGGCATGCGACGTTCAAAAGATCATGCACTGCATGGTGCTCACGATGGCACTGCATGGTGCTCATGGCGGCATTTGAGGCGCCTCAAAAGGCGGCACTGCATTGTGCTGACTCACGGCGGTGCTGCATGGTGCTCACTGCATGGTGCTCACTGCATGGTGCTCACTGCATGGTGCTCACTGCATGGTGCTCACTGCATGGTGCTCACTGCATGGTGGTGACTCACGGCTTTGTGGAGCGATGGGAAGTGTGAGGGGCGTGACGCCAGCACTGCCTGCATGTGGCCCAGCGATGCCACCGCGCTGCCCTGCCGTGTCGTGTTCCATGCAGGGCGGGCGGGCGGGCGCAGGACAAGGGGACAAGGGGGGGTACCTTTTGAGTCGCCTCACAAGTTACCATGCACTGCCTGCATGTGGCCCAGCGATGCCACCGCGCTGCCCTGCCGTGTCGTGTTCCATGCAGGGCGGGCGGGCGGGCGCAGGACAAGGGGACAAGGGGGGGTACCTTTTGAGTCGCCTCACAAGTTACCATGCACTGCCTGCATGTGGCCCAGCGATGCCACCGCGCTGCCCTGCCGTGCCGTGTCCCATGCAGGGCGGGCGGGCGCAGGACAAGGGGGGGACGAGCAAGAGGAGGTGGAGGAGGGGGGTAGGGGGGTAAGGGTGGTGAGAGGGGTAGGGGTGGTGAAGGGGTAGAGGGTGGTGAAGGGGTAGAGGGTGGTGAAGGGGTAGAGGGTGGTGAAGGGGTAGAGGGTGGTGAAGGGGTAGAGGGTGGTGAAGGGGTAGAGGGTGGTGAAGGGGTAGAGGGTGGTGAAGGGGCACACACTCACTGACTTGACACACTGGCATCAAGCAGCATGGCGAAGCGCAAACCCGTGAGCCCATGAGCCAGTAGGCCTGACATGATAAATCGACAAGGCCGTTAGGCAGTGTGCGTGAGGCGGTGCGGCAGGGATGCAGGAAGGCAGGGAAGCAGTGATGCAATGGGGCAGTGTAAGGCAGGGAGGAGGCAGGGAGGAGGCAGGAAGGATGCAGGAGAGGACAGGGAGGCAGAGAGGGAGGCCGGTGGGGGGGCAGAACACGTGGGAGGCAGAGAGGGAGGGTGAGAGGGAGGGTGAGAGGGAGGGTGAGAGGGAGGCAGAGAGGGGGCAGGGAGGGAGGCACCTCGACGACGTCGACGACGATGAGGCCTGCGAGCGATGGCAGCAGGTGCTGCTCCGCCACCCGCACTGCCACTGCCCCCCCCATGCTGCCATGCATGCTCCACGCGCCATGTGCCGTGCCCCGCCCGCCCACACACGGAAGGGAGGGGGAGGGGGACACGGAGCAGAGCAGATGAATGAAGGAGGGAAGGAGGAGTGGAAGAATTAGAGGTGCCTTGCCTGCCCTCTCACGCTCACCTGTGCCCCAGCAGCACCATGCCTGCCCTCTCACCTGTGACCCAGCAGCACGATGGCGGGAGGTGAGTCACCAAAGAGCTTCGTTGCGACGCCTGCCACATCCTCCACCAGCGTCTGACGTGGCATGGTGGGGCCATGCACGCATGCACATGCACGCACGCGCATGCACGCACAAACCGATGCAAACAAGCACAGAGCACTGAGCAGAGAGCAAAGCAAGCACACATGGCTGCATAGATGTGTGCACGCACAATGGCTGCCAGCGACATGCACAATGGCTGGCAGCGACAAGCACAATGGCTGGCAGCGACATGCACAATGGCTGGCAGCGACATGCACAACGGCTGGCAGCGACATGCACAACGGCTGGCAGCGACATGCACAATGGCTGGCAGCGACATGCACAATGGCTGGCAGCGACATGCACAATGGCTGGCAGCGACATGCACAATGGCTGGCAGCGACATGCACAATGGCTGGCAGCGACATGCACAATGGCTGGCAGCGACATGCACAATGGCTGGCAGCGACATGCACAATGGCTGGCAGCGACATGCACAATGGCTGGCAGCGACATGCACAATGGCTGGCAGCGACATGCACAATGGCTGGCAGCGACATGCACAATGGCTGGCAGCGACATGCACAATGGCTGGCAGCGACATGCACAATGGCTGGCAGCGACATGCACAATGGCTGGCAGCGACATGCACAATGGCTGGCAGCGACATGCACAATGGCTGGCAGCGACATGCACAATGGCTGGCAGCGACATGCACAATGGCTGGCAGCGACATGCACAATGGCTGGCAGCGACATGCACAATGGCTGGCAGCGACATGCACAATGGCTGGCAGCGACATGCACAATGGCTGGCAGCGACGTGCACAATGGCTGGCAGCGACGTGCACAATGGCTGGCAGCGACGTGCACAATGGCTGGCAGCGACGTGCACAATGGCTGGCAGCGACGTGCACAATGGCTGGCAGCGACGTGCACAATGGCTGGCAGCGACGTGCACAATGGCTGGCAGCGACGTGCACAATGGCTGGCAGCGACATGCACAATGGCTGGCAGCGACATGCACAATGGCTGGCAGCGACATGCACAATGGCTGGCAGCGACATGCACAATGGCTGGCAGCGACATGCACAATGGCTGGCAGCGACATGCACAATGGCTGGCAGCGACATGCACAATGGCTGGCAGCGACATGCACAATGGCTGGCAGCGACATGCACAATGGCTGGCAGCGACATGCACAATGGCTGGCAGCGACATGCACAATGGCTGGCAGCGACATGCACAATGGCTGGCAGCGACATGCACAATGGCTGGCAGCGACATGCACAATGGCTGGCAGCGACATGCACAATGGCTGGCAGCGACATGCACAATGGCTGGCAGCGACATGCACAATGGCTGGCAGCGACATGCACAATGGCTGGCAGCGACATGCACAATGGCTGGCAGCGACATGCACAATGGCTGGCAGCGACATGCACAATGGCTGGCAGCGACATGCACAATGGCTGGCAGCGACATGCACAATGGCTGGCAGCGACATGCACAATGGCTGGCAGCGACATGCACAATGGCTGGCAGCGACATGCACAATGGCTGGCAGCGACATGCACAATGGCTGGCAGCGACATGCACAATGGCTGGCAGCGACATGCACAATGGCTGGCAGCGACATGCACAATGGCTGGCAGCGACATGCACAATGGCTGGCAGCGACATGCACAATGGCTGGCAGCGACATGCACAATGGCTGGCAGCGACATGCACAATGGCTGGCAGCGACATGCACAATGGCTGGCAGCGACATGCACAATGGCTGGCAGCGACATGCACGTGAGCATGATACCTGGCGGCGGAGAGAGAGGCACCTGGGCGGAGAGGCACCTGGGCGGAGAGGCACCTGGGCGGAGAGGCACCTGGGCGGAGAGGCACCTGGGCGGAGAGGCACCTGGGCGGAGAGGCACCTGGGCGGAGAGGCACCTGGGCGGAGAGGCACCTGGGCGGAGAGGCACCTGGGCGGAGAGGCACCTGGGCGGAGAGGCACCTGGGCGGAGAGGCACCTGGGCGGAGAGGCACCTGGGCGGAGAGGCACCTGGGCGGAGAGGCACCTGGGCGGAGAGGCACCTGGGCGGAGAGGCACCTGGGCGGAGAGGCACCTGGGCGGAGAGGCACCTGGGCGGAGAGGCACCTGGGCGGAGAGGCACCTGGGCGGAGAGGCACCTGGGCGGAGAGGCACCTGGGCGGAGAGGCACCTGGGCGGAGAGGCACCTGGGCGGAGAGGCACCTGGGCGGAGAGGCACCTGGGCGGAGAGGCACCTGGGCGGAGAGGCACCTGGGCGGAGAGGCACCTGGGCGGAGAGGCACCTGGGCGGAGAGGCACCTGGGCGGAGAGGCACCTGGGCGGAGAGGCACCTGGGCGGAGAGGCACCTGGGCGGAGAGGCACCTGGGCGGAGAGGCACCTGGGCGGAGAGGCACCTGGGCGGAGAGGCACCTGGGCGGAGAGGCACCTGGGCGGAGAGGCACCTGGGCGGAGAGGTCGAGGTCGTTGGCGGTGCGTGTGGCGCCGTGGCCGCGCATGTCCACGGCCACCACCTGCACCTCGCCCCTCATGTGCCCCGCCGCCACCGCAAACGATGCCCTGCCCCCGCACATGCACCCCATCCACCCCGCACATCATGGCGGGCAGGAGAAAGAGCGGATGCAAGGTGAGATGCGGGGGGGGGGGGGGGGGGGGGGCTGAGGAAGCACGAGCAGCGTGCTGACCTTGGGAGTGGGCTTGGGCACGTGCTTGCGCAATGAGTGAGTAACGCTTTAACGAGGCAGCAGTGTGGTTGTAACGGGGAAAGGGGCGGTTGAGGCGTGGGTGTGGGTGCACCCACCCGGCATAGCCGCCCCCATGCAGGCACAGCAGCACGGGCCCTGTGCGCCCCGCCCTGTACACGTGGAACACCTGGCCAGCCCCACAGGCAAAGGGGGGAGTGGGGGAAAAAGAGGGGACATCAGGAGAGGGGCGGGAGAGGGATGAGTGAGCAGGCGGAAAGGCATAAGGCACTAGCAGAGGAGGAGCGGACAGAGGAGGAGCGGACAGAGGAGGAGCGGACAGAGGAGGAGCGGACAGAGGAGGAGCGGACAGAGGAGGAGCGGACAGAGGAGGAGCGGACAGAGGAGGGGCGGGCAGCGGAGGGGCGAGCAGAGGAGGGGCGAGCAGAGGAGGGGCGAGCAGAGGAGGGGCGAGCAGAGGAAGACCGGGCAGAGGAGGAGAGGGCAGTGAGTGGAACGCAACAAGACAGGCAGTGCTGTAATCGGTGCGCAGTGCAGACTCACATCGCCATTGGCCACTGTCACGTATTCCTCCTCTTCAAAGTACTCCTGCCACCCCACCGGCTCAAACTTGCTTCTGCTGCTCTGCCCCTGCCCCTGCCCCAATCCGCTCCACGCCTTCCCGCCCACCGCACCGCCCCCTGCGCCTCCCTCCTCCGCGCCCCCCCCGCCATCCGCTCCCCCCTCCGCGCTTCCCCCGTCCAGCGCGCCCCCCTCCAGCGGGTCGTCCTCGAGGATGCGCGCGACGGCCTCGTGGGACGCGCGGCTGTGGCTGTCCGCCTTGGGCAGCCGCGGACTCGCCTCCGTGCCCTCCCCCTCCGCCTCCTCCGCCGGCCCCGCCTCCACGCGCTCCAACCGCACGCCTGCTCGCGGCTTCATTGCGCGCTGGCTGGCGGGGAGGAACGAGGGCAGCGCGCATGCAGCGGGGAAGGAGCGCGGGGCGGGGCAGAGAAGACGGGCGGGTGGAGGCGGAACGTGAACGGGCGGTAGCGCGCGGCAATGGGCGCAAGTGACGAGGGCAGAGCGCGCGAGGAGGGCAGAGCGCGCGAGGAGGGCAGAGTGCGCGAGGAGGGCAGCAAGAGAGTGCGAGGGGGAGGCGAGGAGCGAAGAGGAGGGCGGGTGGAGATAGGCAGTGGTACACGGGTAGTGGAGGTGGTACATGGATAGGCGGATTCGCGCAGATGTGGGAAGCGGGGTTTTTCAGAGGTGAAAAAGGGAACAAAAGTACTGACCCGATATATCTGGCGTTTGAGTTGGGAATAAGTAAAAGTAGCAGTTGCCTATGCAACGCTTCTTGGTCTGTGCATGAAGAACTGCGCTCTGCTCTGCATCAGCGTGATCGTCAAAGATGCGATGTGTTAGCTGAGGTTGGCGATGCTCAATGTACACGCTAAAACAAGCTTCATTGTAGTACCTCAAACTTTCACATTACCCAGTACACTCAAGTGGTACTATAAATAATATGTTGTATTACAAGTATCTTCTAGTTACTTCTTTAATTTTATTTTTGCGCCAGCGCGCTGCATTAGAAATAGTAAAGTCTTATTCAAAATGATGCAATAGACTGATAAAAGATGAATACGGGAGGCAAATCCAATTTGACGACTCACATATGTGGTTTCAAGGCACCATGCACACCACCTCAGAAGGCACGGGATGTATCACCTACAGCAGAAAGAAAAGAGAGCAAGAATGATTATGGGGAGGTATAGGCACCAAAAACACACCTCGCGTTCCAGGCGCAAACACTCCAACTCCAAAAACACGACAAACTCGCCCAAGACATCAACGCCCATGGTGCTACTACTGCCAGCGCTCTAGGTGCATGCGTCGCTGGGTCAACACCCATAAGCGCCAACGCTCCCAAGGCACCAGCACCTAAGGCGTGAGCACCCAAGGGCTAACGCGCTTAGCACCAATCACTAAGGCGAGCCCGAGAGGACAAAGAAAGAGTGGCCATTGCAAAAGTTGCATGCACTTAAGGCGCCAGCGCGATAGGCGCCAACGTGTTATGCACCGCCTTGGGCACCAGCGCGATAGGCGTCAGCGTGATAGACGCGAGGGAGTTAGACGATAGCGCGATAGACGCCACCGCGTTAGAAGATGGAGCGGCAGGCGCCGGCGCGACAAGCGCTATCGTGCTCGGGGTCAGCGTGTTAGACGCCAGTGCGATAGGCGCCATCGCGACAGGCGCCAGCCAGCAGGATAGGCGCCAGCGGGATAGGCGCCAGCGCGACAGGCGCCAGCTAGCGGGATAGGCGCCAGCGCGCTAGGCGCAAGCGCGCTAAGCGCCAGCGCGTTTAGCACCAGCGCGTAAGGCGCCAGCGCGCTAAGCGTCAGCGAGTTAGGTGCCAGCGCGCTAGGCGCCAGCGCTCCTGCGTGCTCGCTCCCGTGCGGGCACACTCCCTCACACTCCCTCTTTCTCCTTCTTAAAATGGAGGCACAATGCTAAGAGGAGACTAATCGGCACAGGTAACTTAGAAGGAAACGCACCTGAGACAACCGTGCGTACGAAAACAACGCGCGGTCGTGCAGCAACCCGCGCTCGTGCTCGTGCACCCACCAAAGGCGACGGCGGGAAGGGAGGGAGAGGCGACGACGAGGAGGAAGGGAGAGCGACGGTGGGGAGTGAGGGAGAGGTCACGGCAGAGTGTTACTGAAACGAGATTCCTGGTAGGGAATGGCGACGGGATAGGGAAGGTATTTGGGGTGGGGAGAGAAGGGGAGATCAGAGCTTCGGAAGGATAGTTGGGATTGATAACGTGATTGGCCCGAAAACTGAGGAAGTGTCCAGTTGTATGACAAAGTTCGCGTACTAGCACGGTTCGCCAAAGTTACCGGACAACTATATGATGCGACATGATTACCCCCACACATCAATCGCACAAAGCCAGCACGCGACATCTCACTACAATCCAACCCACGATACCATTTATATGCAGCAAACCAACCGAGTACGGCACTCCCCAGAAATGTCCGAAATGTACCGCGCCCTAAGCAAGACGGAAATTCGAGCCCTTTGAAATTTTCTCGTGTTCTGAGTAGCGCACAGAGCCGTTTTCGGGACCGCGACTCGTGTTCACTCTCGTGCGCGCGGAAGGATAGACGCTATGGAACAGCCGCGAGAGGCGCAGCCGGTGGGCGACGTGCCGGCGGACGCGAATCAGCGTGAGTGAAGGAGCTGCGAGTAAGGAACTGCGAGTAAGGAGCTGCGAGTAAGGAACTGCGAGTAAGGAACTGCGAGTAAGGAACTGCGAGTAAGGAAACTGCGAGTAAGGAACTGCGAGTAAGGAACTGCGAGTAAGGAACTGCGAGTAAGGAACTGCGAGTAAGGAAACTGCGAGTAAGGAACTGCGAGTAAGGAAACTGCGAGTAAGGAACTGCGAGTAAGAAATTGCGAATAAGCAGTTCGTGGAGTGAGGTGTAAGAACCCGCGAGTACGGAACTGCATGTAAGCAGACGCGTCGAGTAGTAAGAATCCGCGAGTAAGCAACTACGTGTAAGTTGCTCCTCTCCTTTTTCGTAATCTGCGAAATTCAACGGAATCTGCACGCCTTGCTACCTACTGAAGTTGCTCCTCTCCTTTTTCGTATCCCCCTTCCTCTCGATCTCACCGTCGTTCGTTTCCTTACTCCTCCGTGTTTTCCCCTGCCCTCCACTCTGCTTGTACCTGCGGTGGAAGAGCGAAAACAAGGCAGCGCCCTGCGCGGGCTCTCTAACCCTCTCCATCCCCCAAACCACCTCCGCCTCCCCCCTCCCCTTCCCTTTCCTCAGACTGCCCAGGAACAGGAGCGGAAGAGGCAGGAAAGGCGGCAGCGTGTGCGGGGTGCCCCAACCAGCAGATCTGCGCCACAGCGCCCAAGGGGCCGGATCCAGGTGCGCTGCTGGGGCGTGGTGGGGCCGGGTGGGGCGTGGTTGGGTGCGGTTGGGCGCGGCGGGGTGTGATGAGGTGAGGCGTGTGGGATAGGGGGGTGTGTTGCTGCGGGGAGTCCCAACCAGAGATCTGTGCCACAGGGCCCGGACCCAGGTGCGCTGCTGGGCCTTGGTTGGGCGCAGGGGGGCGCGGTTGGGCGCAGGGGGGGCGGTTGGGCGCAGGGGGGTGTGATGGGGCGTGTGGTGGTGAGGTGTGTGGTGCAGCGCGGTGTGGTGCTGGGGGGTTAGCACTGGCAGATCTGCGCCATGGCGCTGCTGGGCCGTGGTTGGGCGCGGTTGGCCGTGGTGACCTGGTGTGTTGGGTCGTGCCGTGCTGGGGTATGTGGTGGGTCAGTGTGGTGAGTCAGTGTGGTGAGTCAGTGTGGTGAGTCAGTGTGGTGGGTCAGTGTTGTGAGTCAGTGTGGTGAGTCAGTGTGGTGGGTCAGTGTGGTGAGTCAGTGTTGTGAGTCAGTGTGGTGGGTCAGTGTGGTGAGTCAGTGTGGTGAGTCAGTGTGGTGGGTCAAGGAGTCATCTGTGAGTCGTTGCACGCGCAGTAGCGAACAGGGCTCACTTCCACTACCTCAGCAATTTACAGCGCCTGGTAAGGGTGGTCGGGTCCCTCCCGGTGTGCTGCGGTCACTTGAGGTGTCGCTTGTATGCCAAGACTCGTTTGTCCACTCTGCTTTTAGGGTTCCAGTTTTGACCACCCAAGCCATCCCTCTCTCTTGGAGTTCCTTCTTTCCCCATTCCTGGCAGCCAAGATATCGCCTCCTTCTCACTTGTTCCCCTTCCCCTTTACCCATTTCTTTTCTCCGTCTCTTCCTCTCTCTTTATCTTCCCCCCCCGCTCTCCACCTCTCCCCCCCCACAGACCTGGCGGCCATAGCGCAGCGGCTGCAGGCAGTGAAGCACATCGTGCTGGTGCTGTCGGGGAAGGGCGGCGTGGGCAAGAGCACGTTTGCTGCACAGCTGGCGTGGCACCTGGCGCACCAGGACAAGCAGGTCGGTTGCTTGCTTCTCCCTCGGACTGGTGCAGGGGGGCAGTCCGAGGCATGTGGGGCGGCACGAAGGGTAGCTGTAGTGGACATGAGCATGTGGGGCGTCGGCTCGAGTCACCTCGTTCCTACTTGACATTTGGGTTGATTGTGCCGCGTCTTAGGCGCTGGCGAGGAGAGTCACCAGGGAGCCAGCGGGTTCAGGTCAGGGCGCTGGCACACTGCACCGACTTGCCGCTCCAACGCCACCTCCCCTCTCCATGGCACCCTCCGTCCAGCCTCCCAAAACTCCCCGCGCCCCACACCCCCCTCTTCCTCACCCGCCCACCCCCCAGGTGGGTCTACTAGACATTGACATCAGTGGGTCGAGTGCCCCCTGGCTGTGGGGCTGGAGGGGGAGGAGGTACATGCGAGCGCCAGTGGGTGGCCGCCAGTGGGTGGTCGCCAGTGGGTGGTCGCCAGTGTATGTGGATGACCGCCTGGGTGTCATGTCCATCGCCTTCATGCCACACATCACCCACTTGCCACTCCAACACCCACTTCACCTCTCCACCCATTGGCCTCCCCCTAAAATTCGCCCCTCCCCCCCCTCCCCCACCTCCCCCTCCTCCCCCTCCCCTCGCTCCCCTCCCCCCCCTCCTCCACGTCCCCACTCTCTCCCCCCCTACTAGACATTGATATCTGGGCTGGAGGGGGAGGAGGTCCATCAGAGCGCCAGCGGGTGGTCACCCGTGTATGTGGACGACCGCCTGGGCGTCATGTCCATCGCCTTCATGCCACTGCCACACTGCACCGTCTTGCCACTCCACACCCACTTCACCTCTCCCCCCCCTGTCCATTTACCCCCTTAAACTCACTGTCCCCCCACCTCCCCCCACTCCTCCGCCTTTCGCCTCCCCGCTCCCCTTTTTCACAGGTGGGCCTGTTGGACATTGACATCTGTGGGCCGAGCCTCCTTCGCCCCTTCACGCCA